ATGGTAGTACTTCAGTGGGTACCCTTTACCTACCCTGAAAAACAAAAGGCACCTGCAGACCGAGGTGACCCTTATCAGAACAGACAGGTAGCTCTATTGAGTGCATAGGTTTATTGGGTTAATGACAATACAGGAACATGCCTCAGAGTAGTAAGTGCTGCCTGGCAGGAGTGGGTAAGCTCCTATGGCACTGGCTCTGCAAAAGCAAAATAAAAAAGTATATCTGTTATTGTTAAAAAGGAAGACTGCAGCTTTAAAATCTGCTACACAATAAAAATGTAACCTTAAAACTTGTATTTTCTGGCCAAATAGAAACTGGATTTTGTACACATTTTATCCACTGAATTCCAGCACAACCTGTATTGTCAATACATTAGTGATCAATAAAATGAAAGGGAACCCACATGTCATTGGAGAGATTTAACAGGCACATAGAAGTGATTTATTTCCACCTCTACAATATTATCTATTGTACTAACATGGAAAGATGTATATGTATACATTACAAATCCATTAAGCCTCTCCGTGTGGATACAGGATTGGAGTGATGTTATTTATACACCCCTCTGTCCTCACCCATAGGTTTTCATCTTTAAAATGTCAATCTCTGCACTTGTCCAGCCACTGTGTCACCTGAGTGTTAGGTAAATTGTTGCAAATCAATTTCCCAATTTACAGTTTGTCTGCAATGACACTGACTAGGCAATCCTGTTCCTGTGCCTTGTAATGTGAGATCATGCAAGGAAATCCTCCCACTTCTGCCTTCCATGGCTGCTACTCTCATGAGATTTGGAGTGTTTTTCTGAAAACCGTAGTGATTGTAGCTGATATCACTACGTGCTGTATATTGTTGTTCTGTGTTCCTGCTGGAAGGGGAACCTGTACCTTAGAACCTGCAGTGCAAGGATCTCCCTGCTTCGGATTCATTCATTCTGTGGATCTGCTCCTCTTACATCTACCTCTCTTGCTTCCTATTGAGGTTCCCCTTATCAGTCTGCCAATTCATAAGAGCACCAGTTATCTAGGGAGCGAATCTTACATACAGAAGCAAAACCTGAAAAGATCAGCTGCAAGTAGCCTACAGGCAATACTTGTGACTAGTTCTTATCCTAAATTTGGACGCCCCAGTACACCTCTTGGTTTCCCCCGTACATGTTCGCTTTAGGGGCTACAAAGTTATTTATACTGTACATATTGTTTAGTGCCAGAGGCCTTTTGATACTCTCTTGCAGTTATTTCTGATATGTGATTTATCTTACAGTTGATCCAGCACAGAGGCTGATTTATGTTCCAGAGCTATTCAACTGCTTTGTTTAAAGAGCACCCGGAAGTGAATTTTCTACACCTACCTTACCTCTAAATTAGTTGGATTCAGATAGTGCTTTTTCATGTTGTGGAGCTAGAAACAGCAGTGTACAGCATAGAACATTATCAGCCTCATTAACCTCAGTTCAGCTTGATGCTGTTTAGTGTTCTTAATTAAAAGTCTATTGTATCCAATCTACATTTGCCATAACCTATAAAGAACTAATGCACAAACACTAGCTAATTACGACAAACAAGACTATGAACAGCATTTACAGATACATATTTAAAAAGTAAAACCTTATCAGGAGAATTTTTCAATATATTATGACTGTGGGATGAAAGCTTCACCTCTACCCTGCCTAATACAGCGATTCATTTATGATATACTTGATCCAGCTACATAGAAAATACTAATGGCACTATTACACAAGTGATTATTCCACTGCACATTGCTGCTACTGCCCCAATACCACACAGTCTTTGTAGGTAGTGACAACTAGTTGAACTTGCTATATGGGCTGCAGAGATACAGATTAGCTGCAGACAATCCTGGAACTGTAAACATGCTCAGGACTACTGTGGATCTTGGCAACCTCTGCAGCAAGTGGCATTAGCCATAATTTCATACACAAACCACAATTGCAGGTCATGTCTGACAACTCTAATAAGTCACTGAGAACTGATGTGCCATTATGAAACCACATGCATAATAGGGCTCTAATAGAGTATAAAATATGTCAAGTTGTGGGAACTTTTTCATGCCTACTTTCATTAATGGCTTCTCCGTGTAAGGCAGCGGGTGGTTTAGGTTTAGCGGTCCTTTTAGAATCTTACCATAGCAAATGTATATCAATGAATTGAATCATGATCAGGCAGTAAGAGAATCGGTATTGCTGAGTAACAGTATGGAGATTTAGGTTGTTTACTCATGTCAGGTACACCTAATGTCTTGCTATATGCTTGTGGATTTCAAAATCAAATGCAAAGGGCAAAATACACGCTTGGCAACATGAAAGTTCTAAGCAAATCTTGCATTAAAAGGCAAGGTTTGCTTATAACATAATACCCCTCCTATAAAATTGTGGCACTGATGCTGTAAAAACAGAACACGTGTGGAAAGCAAACTAGAAAATATACGTAACCTAGCCAACACTGGAGAGGATGAAGTCACATTCCTTCTGGTGAGATCTTGGAATAGTTGAGTAGCTAGAAGACACTACAGCAAAGTGCAGGAACATCTATCTGAGATTTGGTATCCTCAGTATTCCCAGGATCTCAGTGACAACACCCTTACCTAGGCTTCAAGGGCAGAAACTAAGGTAAGGTATGTGTATTTTCTAACCTCTTTTCAATGTGTTTTATTTTGACAGCATTAATGCACCAATTAAAATGGGGGGAAGGGGGCACTATGTAATAAGCTGATCTTGCATTTAAGGTACTCTTTAATCCTCTGGGAGAGCGACACTAACTGCTTACTGACGCTGCCTAATTTTGGAACAATTTAAATTGGCGTATTACAAACAAAGCAAGTTTTATTGGGTCAATCTTGTGTAACCGAGTAATTTAAAATCTTGAATACATTTGAGCCCTAATGCCCCAGCCATGACCTGGATACGGTGTGTCTGGACCAGGGCCATACCTGCACACATCCTGCATTTTAGGAAGGCTCAGACTAGTTCAGGAGAGGAGGGTGGATATATAAAAAGGAATATAAAAATCAAAAGGCAACAAACATTTACAGACTGGTCATGAGATTTCAGGTAAAAGTTAAAAAAAGGAAAAAACAAACAAACACCTACACCCATTTCTGAGTCATATTCCAGCTGCAGGACAGCATTTAACTGCGTCATACCCTGCCTTATTATCACACCACAAATGAGAAATCTCTCAGTAAATCCTAAGAGTGCTGTTCCCACATTTCACAAGCAGGCCACAAAGGTCAGAACCGCTATTTCAAATCATGTGCAAAATTAGCTCTCACAGCTAAAAGGGATCAGGAGATGATATACGTTTTCAAGCAATCATATGTTAAAGAGCTTAATTAGCAAAAATGTTATAATTGAAACAAAGACTGTACACGCGAATAAAACATTACTGAAGAAAAATAAATAGTGTGTAAATAGGTTTGCCCTTAATAGGGGACACAATACACCGCGCTCCCTACTACTGCATATTAAATAGCAGAGTATTGCCATATGCTATTATTATCCCTCAGCATATTACAAAACACAGGCATTGCCATTTGATCTCTGATTTTCATCATCTCAATGAGCAAAACAGCATTTAATAGGTTTGTCCACTAATATTGCTATAAAAAGGCAAAGCTTTACATTTCTTTGTTTCCATTTAACACATTATTTCCTAGTCAGCTTATTTCCCCCCAACCTTCACATTTTCTCCAATACAGAAGTATGACATTAAAAGGGATTGGGCCACTGTTGTCACTAGCCAGGTCTCCTACCTGTTGCAGTGAGCAGCTTTACTATACCAATGCCCACTAGGATCTATTTACACTTATGCACTACTTGTGCTTGAAAAATATTATCAGTATCACCATTTATCCCTTTTTAGTGCAGTTTAAAAGGAAAGAACAAAAAAAATTAGGCTAGCATGGTTTCTGGTAATCACGTACACATATAACACACAGGAGCCCTAAAGTGAATCTGTGCTTTTGCCATGCAGTGCAAAGCAACATGTTCACTTTAATGCTGCCTGCAAAAAAAAGCATATAATTCCCTTCCTTTTGATCCTTTGGCACTTCGTTCAGCTGATGGGAGTAAAAGGAAAACCCTGTGTATGCCACAAGTAGCTAGAATTGCAGCTTACACAGTGCTTTGGACTCCCTGTGTGACAAGTGCTGATAGGTGTCATCACATTCAGCAAATGACATGCTCTCCCATACCTGAAAACAGCAGTCATTTCTTTGGCTCAAAAGACTAAATGGAGCAGTTGGGAGAAAAGGAAAGGTTAGTATATACGGCTAGGGAGGCCAGAGTTACAGTAAACCTGTGGCTTTACTCTGAGTGGGCAAAATACAGGTTTGCTTTAAAACTAGGCCATTAGGGTTGCTATGTTTTAGTAACACTGTTCAGAACACAGCTAAAGGAACATGTGACAAAATACTGGAGAGTCATTTTTATGAGAATATAGAATAGGGAACATGGGTAGTTCCTAAAAGTGATTATATTATTAAGGTTGATAAGTATATCGCAGTGTTCAGGTCACAGTCTCCCCTGGAGGCGTGGGTTCGAATCCCACTTCTGACATCCCTTTTGCTCGCACCTGAGGACCAACTCTATTAATGGCACAGTGGATCAAGCTCTGAGCGTCGTCGGTCATATCAGGAACCAGCTCGTCATGGTCAGGATGGCCGAGCGGTCTAAGGCGTTGCGTTTAGGCCGCAGTCTCCTCTGGAGGCGTGGGTTCGAATCCCACTTCTGACATCCCTTTTGCTCGCACCTGAGGACCAACTCTATTATCGGCACAGTGGAGCAAGCAATGAGCGTCGTCGGTCGTACCATGGGCGAGCTCTTCACTGGTCAGGATGGCCAAGCGGTCTAAGGCGCTGTGTTAACGTCGCAGTCTCCCCTGGAGGCGTGGGTTTAAATCCCACTTCTGACATCCTTTTGGCACCTTTAGCTCGCATGTGAGTGCCTTGCGCTCGCTTAGGCCTTTATGCCTTACGGAAAAAAACTGACCTTTTCAAAGCTATTGATGCTGTGATATGAATAACCACCATTTGGATGACTGAAAGTGCTTATTCTTCCTTGAAGAAACAGATAAGAGTCCCTTGGCCTTAGTCTGAAGCACTTGCTATCTTTTGGAGGAACAAACCTTTGACTTCCTCTATCTCAGCTTTTACCAAGGTCACAGATCCATCACAGATATTCAACCATCTACAAAGTTACATATTTAGTCAGTTTGAAAAAAAAGACATAAAAGTCCTTTGAGTTCAACTTAATGGTGAAATCAAAAATATAATTTAAGGGCTAAAAAAAAACACAATTTATGGGCAAAAACTGTGAGGTTAACTAGGCAAACCATGTAAGTCAAACAAAGACTATCAACGTTTAAAAGAGAAACCAGAGAGTATATGCCTGCCCTATTCTATACAACTACAAATAAAACCTTCCTTTAAAAAAAAAAATAATATCTCAACCTAACCCAGAAGACTCAACTTGCCATTAGTACCTGGAAAACAAAGTTATGTTATTAATTATCTAAATGATCTAAAATAAGCAGATTAAATGCTGTTTATTTCATAAGCTAAAAGGCATACCAGGCAATCACTGTGTCTGCGATTTAGCAATGAGGTATTCGAAAATAAAGACACTTCAGCTGCAAGATAATACTTTGTGTTGATTTAAGCCACCATGTTGAAAGTAAAGACAGTTCTGATACATTAGGAAGGTCTATTGGCAAAGTTCATTTGTTCATCGATAATTTATATTAGAAACTGCAACTAACAGATCACAAGATGATTTCAGTACAATTTGGTTTGTTGAGATGACAAATAGCTGTATGGCACATTTTATGTGGTTTGAAATCTAGAATATTGTGTATCAAGTACCTTTGTTCTAGTCATTCATACAAAAAAAAAAAAGCTAATGTTAGTAAAAATAGACATATTATTCATATTTAAATTAACTTAATTGAGCTTGCTTGGATATAATGAATCTGCCATTCAATCATACAGAGATGCATATTTACAATGGATTACGTCACTGTATCTGCAAAATAGTTGTGCCTTGTTAGGAAAACCTACTCATGCTCCAGTAGTATACATGTTATGAATATTGTTTTGTTGTTAAATCCAGCAAACAGGATATAATAATTCAACTGTTTGGCAGTGTATGAAAACGAAAAACTGGGGCACAGCAACAATAACTTGCATGTCCCAGTGATGTATTAGGATGGGGAAGGTCAAGTCTAACATGCTACACATCTATTTTGTCTTCTTACTGGAAAGCCTTCAACTTAGCAATGTGCAGTTTTATCAGCAATATTTACAGTTTTATCATTCTATCCAGTAACCAGAGCTACTGGAAACTAATGGTACATCTTGTGTTGAAGTCTTCTATGCTGTTTATCAAGGTGTAGAAGATGTTGGCTCTTGTCAGGAAAAAGGAATGCGTGGTTGTTCTTGCCTAAAAAAAAAGAAATACAAAAAAATAAAAAATGATATTGGGAAAAATTAAGTCTATCAACACTAAAAGCACATTGGATCACAAACGACTGTTCTTTTATTTTCAGAGACAAACACTGAAAGATCTATCATTCATTCGAGAGCCACAGATGCTTTTTTGCAGAGAACACGGGATGGCTGTAAACTACTGATCTGCCAATCCTTGGAACAATTTCACTCTGTAATGCTAAGCCACTCTTGACTCATGTGCCATTATTTTTACTATGGAAGAAGGCATAACTGAAACCTCTTCAACAGACTGACCCTACAGTCAGAGCAGACTGCAATGACTTTAAGCCACCCAACTTCCTCTAGCAAAGCTAAAATCAACTATGCAAGTGAAAATTTGATAGCAAATGAATAACAATTTAGGCACCTCAAAAGGTGCAAATTGAAAAACAATAGTGTGGGATAACAGGTGGTTTGGGATAGTTTAGTAGGAAATTCCTTCATTAAGGAAGGCTTTAACAGACTCATCCCTACCCAACTCTCTAGTCCAACATACGACGATACGACTTTTTTTAATATATATTTTTACATGACAAGTGTAAGTGATAATTTCGTCAGTCAAATCAACCACATAAGCTCACACAAAGACTACATGTTTTCTTTTCATACTACTTCATATTTGTACTAGACAAGGTTAAAGTCTTACAATTATTCAATAGGATTTGAAAGTGTGGCTTGGTATTTGAAGTGAATCAATAACTTACAGACTCACATTTTATATATAAAAAAGTAACATGGAGAAATCAGATTGGTCTAAAATGAAGAAATGTCTACCCTAAACTTGTGGTCATTGCATCAGGAGTACTTATGTACAGTAGATTTTAACACATACAACATATACATTCTGAGATCAGTCCCCCAAAAGCTTATTTTCTTTTTGTGCTTTCTGCAGCAGACAATTTATATCTCCAGCATGTGGCAAAAACAAAAAGGCTTTCGTGGAAGGAACTGATGCAATCTAATATATGACTACATATCCCTGACTATAAAAGACACTGCATAAATCACATAATTTCGTCAATGTCATCTTTGGGCTCACTTTACATTAGCTGGCCCTTCAAAGGAGCATAAAATATGTATGGTCATGGTATGGGAAGTTTGAAAAGATGCGTTTTTAAAGTTCATTTTTTTTTTAAAGTGTCATGTACAAGGCTGTTTATGGCCATACACCACCCAGATCAGTATGTGGCAGGTACACCCAGGTGATTTCTATTAGCTGGGGACAGGAAGCCTGAACAAATCAATGACAGGCTGACGCTGCTCTGTGTGTCCATGGTTGCTCATCTGTCCCTAACCACAGGTATTTGCTCCATGTGTGAATACATGTAAACAGCTGAAAAGCCTGTCATTGATTTGTACGAGCTGAGCTGCCGCTGTTAATGTGAGATGCCAGGCTGTGCCCACAACAGAAATATGCTCATTTGCCCGGTGTACGGTCCTGGACAGCCATGTGAGCCCTAAAGCGAAGTTAGAGGCAAACAGCTAACTCCACATATTAAATACATATAAAAGGAGCCGTTTTATATCCTAAAAGATTTGTATTTCTGCTCATCCAGTGTTGGGATTTATACAGGTCAGCCCTGTCTAGTGGGGCAGGAGAGCTGATTTTTCTCTATTGTAGATAAGCAACACTTACAGGTCTAGTCTCTCCCTTAGTCTGTAATTGGGCAGTGAAGGAGAAGGAGCAGACTGGTTAGCTTATCGTTCTGTCACTTTGCTCCCTTTTTCTATCAGCATGTTTCCTGTTAGTATGTGAGCATTGCACCACAAACTAACTGGCTCCTTGTGCTGCTTCTCCCTCCTCTAAACCTGACCACTGCTGTACAGTGAAGTGGCAAGAGGCTGACACCAGGTCAAATTTGGGTATCTACGTGGGCTACATTTGAAAAAAATGAATGTAATGATGTATCAATGAATACAGAGCCGCATTAATTTATGCCTTTTTATATCTGCCTGCAGTTCCTCTTTAAGCATTAATATTTTTAAAGCTTTTTCAGGGTAATTATTATTATTTTTTTTATTCTGGCAGTTTTGTTAATAAGCTGCATACCAAATTGATAAAATTTATGCAAAAATAATCAATAAAAACATGCAGCATTTTTTTATTTTGCAGTTCCCATACTTCTACTCCCACATGTTAATCAGTGCAGGCACACACAAGCCTATGGCATGTGATTTGCAGTCTTTTACAGCAGATATCTCAAGTGATTAGGCAGCAGATTAGCATACAGAACAGCAAGGAGCTGTCAATGCAAGGCGAAGCAAGTCCCATGCTATTTGGTGCTATTTTCATGATGTATAGATTTAATAGCAATTCTGCTGGTATAATGTATAAAACATTTTATGGCACTTAACACATGTCCAATATTAATTTGAATTGCCAGGCTCATTTTAAAGGTAAATCAGCTGGAGAACATTTATTGATGATACTACCTTCCACTTCATATAAATGGTAATTCAAACAAATTTCTATATTTTGACTATTTTCCCAAGAGGCAATAGAGAGATGCAATCTATATCAATAACTTCCCATGTAGATGAGCTTTTAGTGCTGATATGCGTCAGCCTTGTGGATGATAGTGGTTGTTCTAGAACAAAAAAAAAGTATTTATTGCAATCTTGATACAATGAGGGATTTCTTGGAAACTACACCTGCAAGAAGTAGTCTTGCATATATATTAGAATTATTTTTGAAACCAGAGTGCCCAAACTACAAGTGACCAGTTTTTCTGCTGTTATTTATAGAACAACTTTAAAAGTTTTGGGAGTTATTTTGATATAACAGGTTGCACTACATTTTTATATTTAAACTAATATGTTGAAGCTGAATTTTGGGCACATAAGGTACCATTCAATAATGTAGAAGCAAGCTAACACTTACATAAAAATTCATTTGGACATTAGAAAGCCCCATTCTAATTGTGGACCATCTTCAAAGCTTACTTTCAGACTGGCTGTTGGCTACTATTTCCTGTTGTGGAAACTGGCAACCTCAGCCTGTTGTCCATGAGCTGGGTGACCGGTTTTCTTATCGCCCACCTAACTGTTTTAAATAGGTAGCTCTGGCATGGTGACTGGAGCAGAAAGATTCTATTCGCTAATGCAGAGTTTAAGCCACCTCTCTCTGTACCTTGCTCTGCCATTCTGAGCCCCTGTCCATTGATCAGTGCCCTTTAGCTGCTGCCTAGAAGGTGGGGAAACTGACAGAGGTATAAGTCTTTAGTGGAGCAGACTTGCTGTCTACCGTGTCGTGACTGTCTTTTGTACCCTGAACTTAAAATCTACTGATCAGCATCTTTCAGTTCTTCTCTAGGAACTCTGGTTATTTACAGCAGAGTATGTGATGTTTTAGTGGAGCAAACATGATATAAGACATCAAGGTATGGCAGGGGAGTTCCCTGCTCTCCTGTCCACAGCACAACCCTGCATAGCCTCTCCCTGGTTGACACTTCTGAAGAAACTTTTAGGAGCCCTACGCTGATGGCACAGGGAATACACAAGTGAATATCTCCTCATTTTGCACCCCCAAGGCAAAGTCTGGGATAGGTACAATACACTTACTACAGGCAATGCAGGGAGACTGCCAGTAACTGGGGTTCCTAGAGCAGAAGAACCTAGTGATGGGAAGACAGTTGATACTCTATCTCAGGTAGGACAGCATCCAGTATATGGGATACAGGGTCCAGAGAAAAAGCACAGGGATGGTTAAAGAGCTAAGAGACCAGTGTGGCAACATGGGACTTAAGTGCAGGTGCAGACAAATCACATGGAATGGAGTGCAGGTCAAGCATCAAATAGGGTGCAAACAGAGTTTCAAGATCAGTACAGGCAAACCATGATACTGTGTCACCAAAAGGGGGTAGAAGGCTCTACAGTTACCAGTTCTTTGCCAACGCTCTTTAAAAAAGCCTTTTCAGCAGGACTACTTCTAGAACAATTTCCCTAGGACTCCCTGGATGCTGACAACTGAGAGTACAGACAGGAATATATAGAGTATCAGTCATGAAGCAGAACCATATTTGTTCAAGGCCAGATGTCAGGACAGATGACCAGCCAGTGCAACAGGATATAGGTCCATATACTCAAATACGATCAGAAACCACGGGCCAATAAAGATCAGGATAAGAATCATGCAAGATTAGAAGGGTGAAGCCCAAGGACTAGATGAGGATTGGGAGCTCAAGTCAATACAAACTAGCACATACAGTAAGGCTAATCAGAAGCCTGCCACATACAAAAAGCAGTAAAGACAGCAGGGGAGTGCTGAGATACAAGCTAAGACTAGATACAAGTAAACAGGTAAAATCAGGAACAAGCAGTTAGAGATACAGAATACCAACATAGCCCAGAGAAAAGAACACATACAAAAAGGAGCAAGCAAAAACAAATGCAACAACATCCATAAGATTCTTGCAAAATTTGTAACACATAAAAACGTTCTATATATTATGTCAGTATATAAAATGGAAATAAAATTATCCTCTTTAATAAAGAATTTGCTGCACAAGGTATATCGCCCCCAAAACATGTACGTGTGTGTGTGTGTGTGTGTGTGTGTGTGTGTGTGTGTATATATATACATATATATA